CTCAGTGAAATATGTGATTGATTTACTGTTTCAGTTTTATAAGATAATAAAGACAGTCTTAATCACTCATACACCAATGCTGCAGTCAGCCTGGTGAGTGTATAACAGTTTATTTACTCATCTTGAGAAGCAGTTGAATCACTCAAAAAGAAATTCAGTCTGAGATGATGTTATAGTGCAGGCTATTATTGCTGCAAGGAATAAACTGGCATATTACTACAGTAAAATAGAACAATCTTTTGCAGAGTACTATGCTGTAGCAGCTCTACTAGATCTCTCTTATTAAGTTAATATCTACACTTCTCAAGATTGAACAGAGGAGAAATAAGACTTATATATTAAATTAGTCTGAGACTACTACAATGCCAACTATCAGAGATTTGAATGAGCAGATATTTAAGATGTGAAGACAGTGAAATATAATTCTCTAGTAAGTAATAATCTTTGATAACACTTCATATCACATAGAACTATAATACTAACTTTGAAACAGAACTTACATACATTGATTATAACTGAAAATCAGGCAAAACTACATACTTGTAAAACTGAATTTGACTGCTATCTTCAAGATGATCTGACAAATTTACACATCAAATCAATTCTAGAGTTATGAAAAATTATTGAGAGTACATATTTAACTATTGCACTGATGACATGTGATATTCTGACAATTCCATTGACAGAGATGAGAATGAAGTGAAAGTTCAACTCAAGTTGAGATATTTGTCACTATTACTGGGAACAATTACAAGGAGAAACAATCAAGAAACTCATGATTGTAAAACATGGAATTATCAGACAGTTTAATACCTCTGATCACAGTATATCAGAGAAGTGTAGTTTTCATGAGAAAGTGAAGAATAAACTTACACAAGAATGTATTTAGTTGTTTCATGAGCATTATCAATAATCATTACCAAATTCTGATTATATAAGCAATCACTGAATGAACTGAATGAGACTGATTTTGATCTTCAGTCTCAGTCTCATTCTGATTTTGAAAGAATGATCATCTTTCACAGTTTATTCTGGAAAATTACTCTCATTTCACTGTTCTTGAATTAAATCTGGTCATTTTTCACGCCATTTCTCTCAGAAATGGTCCATTTTCAGATTTTTTTGAGGCTTGGTCCTGGTGAGACTCACGCCAAGAAATGTATGGAACCAGACCAAATGGGACCAAATGTGAAATTCATGGTCCCGCCGGCCAGTCTACTTACAAGAAAATACTTCTGACTGAAGATACAAGAACTTGTAAAGAAGATAGTAAATTCTTATACTATTTATCAGAATTCATGAGTAGTGTAGTTTAGATTATATAAAGAACTTACTTCTCTACTCATCTCATAAAAATCTTGAAAATAGCTAGAAATGAATACTCTTGTGAGTCTCTCTGAAAGCAAGAATATATATAATACCTGCTTTGACAGTGTGCTGATGATAGTAAATCACTTTATTAAGATAGTATACTTTATATTCATCTATAAAAACTTGAAGTCAAAGAATTTAACTTATATCTTCATCTGTAATATAATTCTGTTGTATGAATTATCTATAAATATTATCTCAGATAGAGAATCAATTTTCATAGAAGAGTTCTGATCTGATCTGATAACTATACTGAAGATCTTATAAGATCTAAGTATAACTTTTTATTAACAGACAGATAATCAGATAAAACATCTGATGAGTATATTAAAATAGTATCTGTAATACTTTGTTAATTATAATCAGAATGACTGAGTATATTAATTATCACTTATAAAGTTTATATATAACAACTTAAAGTATGTCAGTACAGATAAAACTCTCTTTAAGATACTCACTGAGACTTATTCATAAATAATCTTGATGAACCTGTCAGAGTACACTATAGAGTAAAATAATGTCTGTGAACAGACTGAGAGAATTCAGAAGATTCAGAAAAAAGTCTGTGAATTCTTGAGAAAGACTTAAGAGTATCAGAAGAGATACTATGACTTCAAGTATATTATAAAGAGTTTCAAGAAAGATGATAGAGTCTGACTAAGTCTAGAAAACATTATTATACAGAGATCTAGTAAGAAACTGAATCTCTTACAGACAGAGTCTTATAAGATTATAAAGAAAGTTAACTCACAGTTCTACAGATTGAAACTGTTATCTAAGTTACAGATATACAATATTTTTCATATCTCTTTACTTTATAAATATAAGAAATTCTTAGAAGAGAATTCTATAACTTATCACTTTATCTATGAAGTACTAGAGAGTGAAAGAGAATATCAGATTAAAGAGATTATTAACTTAGAGAAGTGAGATCATAAGCTCTGATTCAAGGTTCAGTGATAAGAAAGAGTATTCTGATAAGATAAATAAGTTCACTTGAGAATTATCTGAGTAGATAAAATATCTACAGAAGCTGAGATATGTCTTTTATACTATGAATTCTGATAAGTTAGAATGATATAATCTTCACTAAGAATCTGATTGTGATAAAGATATTAACACTGTCATTTACAAGTTCTAGTCTATAAGATGATGAGTTTCTACTGAGATGAACAGTCTGTAATATATATAAGAAAAGAAGAAATTATACTCTTATTAAAGCTAAAAAAATAAGAAATAAAAACAGAACTGTGAATATAATTTAGAGATTAATAAAGAAAAAATAAAGAAAATTCAAATTCATACTCTTAATATTTATAACATTTAACTTTCTCACAACTATTAATTTCTCTCTTCAAAGAAGCAGAGAGTATTATATTTATAATACAGATAATTATTATATTTGATATAAAAACTGTCTGAAATGCACAGACTTCAGAGAAGCTGAACATCAGAGTATACACAGTTATAACAGAATCTTGAAGACTGACTGTCTG